GACACCCCTCGTCCCCAATCCGCTCCCCAAGGCAGCCGTCGATCCCACCTCCACCTTCGAGACACCCATTGTCCCCAATCCCCTCCCCAAAACAGTCGTCGATCCCACCTCCACCTCGGAGACACCCCTAGTCCCCAATCCCCTCCCCAAGACAGCCGTCGATCCCACCGCTCCTTCTCCGCAGTCCTCGTCTTTTGAAATTAAAGTTGATCGACAAAGACGACCAGGACGTGCTATTGTAAGTCCATATCTACCCGAGGACTACAGACGGTATGCCAGAAAGGAGCGCGCGTTTGATCGGTTCATCGCATCCAAAGACAAAGAAATGTAAGTTCATCCAAAAGATCTTTTATTGTTTATATTAAAATAAAAATAACTTTTTATTATATTATTTAATAGGAGGAATGTCGGCGGTTTATATGAGGTGGACCAGGAGTGGTTTCAGGATTTGCTTAATGCGGATGAAATGATGTCGGACGAGGTATGCATATGTTTGTCTTGTAATATCTCAACGTATAAAAATGAATTGATGGATGATGTTTGGTTTGATTTTATAAAACAACACGTGAATTGTTCGCAAAATATTTTTACTACCCGCAAGTGTACGGAGTAGCTGCAGAAAGCGGCGAGCAAGGTCGTATTCCACAGAGACTGTTGTAAAACTAATTAAGTACCAAAATATAGACGATTAAATATTATCTAGACAAATGCAAATTTGATTGGAGTTTTTATTCTAAACTAATGAATGAATGCAAAAAATAAATTCTAACACTAATGAAGGCTTATTCTAAATAAATCAAGTATGAGAAAATAGATTCTAGGCTATGCTTTCCTCGGGATTATTCTAGCAAAGTTTTCTTATTCATTCAAACCTTATTTAATTCTACCAATCGTAGGGATAATCGCTAAAGTGATTTCAACCTTTCTCTCGAACAAGCAAATCGTAGATATTAATTGCTATCTATCTCCTCTCGGTCTCAAGATGAACAACTAACTCCCATAAGCTCCTAAGATTCTAGTTCCCTCGCAAGATCCTATCAACCTCTCGGTCTGTTTAGTCTCTTACGTTATGAATTTCCCAATTCTAGCAATCAATTATCTCCTCTCGGTCTCAAATCAATTACAAGTATGCATTAATAGCGGCCGTCTACTCACACAATAATAATAGGCACAAGAAATTGATAAACGAAAGATAGAACGGAATGAATAAACAAAATCACTTCATAAAATAATCCGAGTACTCGCAAATCCTAGAATCTCAAAGAGATTTAGCTACTAAACATATTCTCAATACTCAAAATAAATAAATCCATGAGTTCAATGAAGAAGAAAAAGAGAAAAGAAAGAAGAACTATTGTTTTCGTTAGTTCCCGGATCTTCAATCTTGACTTCCTCGAATCCCTCGTGTGTTTCGTGCTTTCCCTAGGCCTCCAATGGTGTCAAAAAAGTCTCAAAACCGTGTTCTTTATGTTCCTTATATAGTGTAGGGTAAATATGGCTTGAAAAAGGGACAAAATCGCGTAGGAATCCTATTTTCCGCTGGTCTCTCTGCGCGTCACACGACCCGTGTCACATGCCACACGAGTCATGTGACTTTCCTCGAACTTTTGGCCAACTTTCAGACTCACACGACTGGTCACACGA